GCCCAGCCCGGGTGAAAGGAGCGGCCCCGGCGCTTCCCCCGGATCTCCCGGCGCCTTCGGCTGCGCCCGGCATCGGCGCGCTGGCCTCTTGGCCCCGAAGCCCCTCCGGGATCGTTGGCCCGGACCGGCGTCGGTCTTAAGAGCTAGCAGCCAAGAAAGGAGCGGGCCGCCCAGGCCCGTGCTGGTCACGATGATGCCGCCTAGAAATACTGCCTGTGAAACACTAGAAACGCTGCATGGGTACTGTCTGTGGTGAGAGAACAGAGGTTTCCCCCATCTTCCCCAATTTAAAAGAAAAAAAGGTCATCATCAAAGCAATGGTTTTCATGCCAGAGCCTTACGATTATTGCAGAGTATCAGTCTCCAGCATCCACGCTGGTCACGTTTCTCTGATCCAGCAGCAAACATTTCCTATAACAACAGTCGGCATTAATTCACCTACCGTGCTTTTGTGTTTGTGCAGGGGAGCCCGATGTCTCTGAGGTGGTAGCCGATGAAACCACAGTCCTCGATGTCCCCGCTGAGGTTAGCAGGCCAGCTGCCAAACATTTCCACAGGCTGCAAGAAGAGGAAAGCACAGCTTCCGAACATGAGCCACGGCAAGCCGAGGTGCTGAGGACCGAGAATTGGCACCTTGAGACCATCTCGACCGTTAAGGCCAGTGGTGGGTGCAAGGAAGAGTTGGGCAAGGCTGTGGATCCTGGATCTGTAGCAGAAAACGCAGAGATGGGGCATAAAAAGGCATGTCCAGGAGACCTGGACCTGTTATCGCCCTCACATGGGGTTGGACTCGGTGCTTGCATGGTTGGCGAGCCATGCAGAGTGCGTGCCCTGGCCAGCCAGCTCCAGAAGTGCCTGCAGAATGGGGGTGGCAGGACAGCCGGGCAGGAATCCCAGCAGCCCAACTGTCCTCCTGAAGGAGAGAGCATCGAGACTTGTGAGAAAGAGAGCAAAGGTCCCAAAGACTCCAGACTGGCATCACCAGAGCATGGGGGAAAGGGCCCACTGGAAGGGCCTGAGGGGCAGGAGGAGCATACGGAGCTGGTGGAGGGTCATTCTGGCAGCCCCGGCCCCCCACCAAAAGCTCTGCCCCCGCAGGACATGATCAAGCGCAGGTACCGCTGCGGGGAGTGTGGTAAAGCTTTCCTGCAGCTCTGCCACCTCAGGAAGCACCGCTTCATCCACGCTGGCCACAAGCCCTTCCTGTGCACTGAGTGTGGCAAGAGCTACAGTTCGGAGGAGAGCTTCAAGGCCCATATCTTGGCCCATCGGGGTGTGCGGCCCTTCCAGTGCACCCAGTGTGACAAGGCTTATCGCACCAAACGAGACTTGCAGGAGCACCAGGTCCTGCACACCGGCCAGCGCCCCTTCTCCTGCGAGGTGTGCGGCAAGGCCTTCGCACGCCAGCCCTCTCTCCGCATCCACAGGAAGATCCACCTGGCCGCTGGGAGCGGCCCGGCTGGCCCCAAGGGCTGCCCGTGTGCCATATGTGGCCGTCACCTGGCCAACCCCGGCTCCTTGCGCAACCATATGCGCCTGCACACGGGTGAGCGTCCTTACGCCTGTCCTTACTGCGGCAAGGACTTCCGACAGCAGAGCAACCTGCGCGAGCACCTCCGGCTGCACACGGGTGAGAAGCCCTACAAGTGCCGCTTCTGCGGGGACGCCTTCCCCAAGCTGCCCGAGCTGCGGCGGCACCTCATCTCTCACACGGGCGAGGCCCACCTCTGCACTGTGTGCGGCAAGGCGCTGCGGGACCCCCACACGCTGCGTGCCCACGAACGCTTGCACACAGGTGAACGCCCATTCCGCTGCGAGCAGTGCGGCAAGTCCTATACCCTGGCCACCAAGCTGCGGCGCCACCAGAAATCCCACCTGGCTGGCAAGCCCTACAAATGCGAGCTCTGCGGCATGGGCTACAGCCTTCCCCAGAGCCTTGCGCGCCACGCGCTCACCCACAAGTCAGAAAAGGACCCTGAGGAACTCACTGTGGCGGTGGCCTCGCTTGCTGTGGACCAGGAAGCGAGGGAAAAGCCTCAGAGGAAGGGCCGCCAGGTGGAGGTTGTGGCAGAACACACCTTGCCGATGGTGGAGGTGCTGGGGCCAGCGAATGAGGCTGAGCTGCTGATCGCAACCAGTGGTGGCTGCGTTGATACTTACCTATCTGGAGGCAGCTCCCCAGGGGCACACAGGAGGCCCGCTGGGCATTTGCCATCGACAAAGGACGTCGTTGAAATCACCATCTCTGAGCACAAGGACGAACGCGTTCTAGGGCAGGGTGAGGGCTCAGCGAGTGACGTGGTCATCGTGCAGGACGGGGTGGGCTTCGGAGCGGTGGCAGAAGTGGTGGAGGTGGAGACTGGGACATGACTATCCCAGCCTGCCCTGGCTGATCATCTCTGCTTATTAAAATAGGGTAAAAAAAACAACAAAAAAAAACCAAGCTAGTTTTATCTCTCTGTGGCAACAAGGCCCCGTGGCTCAGCCCCACGTGGAATTAGCAGTCTTGGAGGTAGCTGCCTGTGTAGACACGGGTCTATTGGTAGCTGCTCATTGGAGCTATGAGCCTGCACGTGCCACGTGCTGGGCCTGGTACAGGGAGGGCAATGGCTGCTGATGGGGTAACGTTTCGGAGAAGACACCCACAGCACTAATGAGCAGTGCTTCTGCTCTGCCTCTGTTACACTGTCAGAGGGTGACGGTGCACTGTGGGGAAGGCAGGAAAAGTCTCAGAGCAGCATCTTTGGACAACACCTTCTATCAAGTTTTTCTTTCTCTAATTAACTGTTGCCATTCAGACACTTTCCTGGGCTGTTACTCTTGGAGTTCAGCAGCAGTTCTGATTATTTGAAGGTGATGATGATGCCAGACATTACTGGGAAGCAGCTTCCCAAGTATTGACAAGGTGTGCCTGCTGTGGGTTTTTTTGAAGAGCGTTTTTCACAATTAGCAGAAGCAAAGCCCTGCCTTGGGGCTAAGGCTGAGTGTTCCTTCTCCACTGGCACCTGTTTTTCTTGCTGTTGGCTTCCTGGCCTCACAGTGACTGGACGGTCTGTGTGAGGACATGAAAGGACAGCTTGTGTCCCGCTGTGAGAACAGCATTGTGCAGTGCATGTTTCACCATCCCCAGGTAAGAGTTCAATAGTTGATCTCTGCATGCTCAGAAGAATTTGCCTTTCCCCTCCACGTTCAAGCTGGGTTCATTAATCTGTTTCCCCTGTTCTTTTTCTCACATTCTTGCTTCCTCTTTTCCACTTCTTTCCTGCTCCTGCACCAAAAAGCTAAAGGACAGCAACCACCCCAGCTACGCTCCAGTGTTAATACTGCTCAGTTTTTTCAGTGCTCGTTTACCAGCTGAGGCACGCTGAAGGAAATTGGTCCCGTTTCAGGAAGGAAGTGCACAGTTCCCAATGCCCCATGAACTTGACCTCAGAGGAAGAGACTGACAATACCAGACCTAACAGAGGTCTTTCAGACTTGCCTTCTCTGGGCACCCTTTTCATGTGTTATACAAACGCCGCTTTCATTTGCAGCACCCTCAGTTTTAGCTATTCTTGCTTTCTATCTTGTTTATCTTTAACATGTGCATTTCCCCAAAGAAGTTTTGCTTTGGGGCTTAAATTCTTTGGGCTTTTTATGCCCACTGTGCAAGAGGAAGGTATAGTGTCACTGGGGAATCATCAGGCACAGTTCCCTTTTGGGGTGCTGTGAATGCAGTAATGTGACAATCTGAAAAGCTGCTTTTTGTGGTTTCTACATTCAACTATTTCCATAAACTTTTATGATTGGTTTGCAGGCAAGGTGCTAGAGTCAGAGCCACGACACTGATGTCAAGTGAGGCTGGAAGGTGAATTCTGCTAATAGTATTTTTAGCCATTTTCTTTAAAGTCAGGGGGTGGATGAGCTCAGTCTTTGCCCTGAGCACTTGGAGAGAGACCAGCATGAGCCCAGGCGTGTGAGGGGGGTTTGTGTTTGAAGCTGCAGTGCTTCCTACTGCTCTCCCTTTGGTGCCTTTCCTAACTCTTGCAGTTTTCAAATATTGACACAGCTGCAAAGTGTTCTGGCTGGAGCTGGACTCCTGCGCTGTGTTTGAAGCATGTACCCACTGTCACAGCAGAACTGGGTGAGGAAGGCGAGCAACTAGGGAAAGCGAAGGAGAATCCAGGCCCCTGTTGCTTCATCCTCTGACCTGTGATTACCTTCTTTATTCTGAGATAATGGGAGAGAAAAAGCAGGAGGAATTATGAATTGGGAGTTCTTCACAGAAACATTCACCTAACAGTTGATCTGAGTAGGTAGGGGCAGGTCTGCGCCGTGCCGGCTAATCCTGAGGAGTCTATAGGTGACTCCCACTGGGCACCTGGTGATGATGTTGCCACCATGTCTTTGTCTTTATCTTGGGAGTGAAGCAGCATGTTCTTATGTGAACTACCTTTTGCTTGACAGGAAAATGATGAATAAAATTGTTTACTCCTAAGAAAATCCTATAAAAGTCCTGAAGACTGAACCTCAGCGTGGATGGGATCTGTGCAGTGTTCCGTGGCCTAGCTAGATACCTGTCTGATGCTGTACAACTGTGTGTTTGCAGCATCTGAAGGGGTGTAGGATTACATAATGCTATACCCTTTCTTGCACTATGTCAGTAAATGGTATTTTAATTAATACATTATGGGCTCTGAGTGCCTTTCTTAATGGAATCCATAACAAACACTTGCACCAATGCATTACATTTAGTGTGGCTGGCAGGATCCTGGTGAGAAATGCCTTACTGGAAAAAGAAGAGCGAGGAAAAGGATGGGTGCTTGCCTGGCAGCAGACACGTGGATCTCCTTGTTGGCTGGAAATTCATGAGCCCTCACAGCTTCAGGCAGCAAGCAGACAGGTCTTGTGGCTGGTGGGGCTTCAGCATGCTGGCAGGGCTTTGCCAGGGTTTCAGGGTGCTGCTGCAACGCTCTGCGGTTACAAGTGTGTGGGTCTGTCTGGTGGCTGGGGTCCTTCTTGCTGGCAGGGCCTCACCAGGTATCAGGCATGCACATAAACTTAAGTGTTATGCTTAAACTCACACCACAGCCAAGGTTCAACGCTTGGCCAACTTGTAAACTGGCTTAAACTTGACCAAGGTATTTGAATGAAAAGGCAGCAGCAGGCTGCAAGGGAAGGGGATGATTCTCTGGGTCCTGAAGTCCTCCCAGCTCAGCAGCTCCCCTGTCCTCAGGGACAGAGGAAGCCCTGTGTGAGGCAGTGGGGGATTCACCCTTTGTGATTGTATCCAAACTGTTACTGGTGATCAAGCTGTATGACTCACTTCAGGAACATATTTGGAAATACCCCAACTGTTGAACCAGCAAACTGTTTCCATCATAGAGCAGACAAAGGCCCAAGAAAACAGGCAAAGGCCAAACCCTCTACACTCTGCTCCCTGGAAGTTGGAAAAACAATTACATAGGAAATAAACACTTGCCAAAGGCTTTCTTCACTTAAAAAAGAAGAGTCAACTCATGGAGAGAGATCAAAATTCCCAGCTGTGTTGAAAACCCTAAATCTGGGAGGGTCAAGGTATGAACTCTCTTACCTTAAGAAAGAAAATAGCATCCATCACTTATGGGAGGGTGAAGGCAGAAAGAAAATGAAACAGTAAAAAGTTGCTTACAGTAGAAATGAACAGATGGAAGGGTTAAATGTTTGAGGGTGGAAGTCAAACCCCCTGCAGAGGTGATAGCTGATGCAGGCTGTCCTGCAGAGGCTAACCACAGGAATGGAGGAAACATAGGAGCTCTAGAAGTGCATTACAGAACAAGGCTAAAATGTGAAGGGCCAGTATCTTTAATTACTAACATTAGTTAGTAAATCCCAGGATGTAGTGAAAGTCTCCAATTATAATGCAAAACTAGTGTAAAGAAATAGTTGAAACTTAAGTGATGGATGTAACCTTGAGTAATCTTGAGATAAAAGGTTTGATCAGTTACAGTTAACAAACTAATGGCCCTGGTTCACAGAGCAAAAGAATGGCATCTGGAAAAGAAGCAGCCAGGCATAGTGACAGAATGGTTGGTTTCAGTTTTTTTAAACAAGTGCTTAAGCAACAGAATGAAAGTAGGAACCAGAACAGAAGTAACAAAGGAAGATGGCATAGGATATTGATACCTGTCTGACGATCAAGCTTAGCTGCTGTATTCTGGTGTTGTTTAAAATTCATCCTATATAATGCATGATACCACGGAAGATGCCAAAACCTTTCCTTGAAAGACAAAAAGATGGTAAAATATCAATGCATAAAAATAACAGCTGCAGTGTAAAGGCTGCCTGGTTATTATAAAGAAGAGACAGAGAGATATGCAGGAATATAAATTAAAAAAAAAAAAAAAGTGGCTGAGAATATTTGAAGCTCTTTCAAAGGGAAATAATCCGGTGAGCCACGTAACGGGTTGGTGTGAGAAGGTGCAGGCCAGTGCTGCACATACCACTTGCCTGCGGGATAAGCTTAGCTGGCTAAACTGAACTGGGGAGCCTGCAGATTGCTTCTGCTGGGCACCTGGTGATGATGCCACCACCATGTTCTTGTCCTTATCTTAGAAGGAAGCAGTATATTCTTATGTGAACATCCTTTTGATTGACAGCGGAAATAACAGAGTTGTTTACTTCCAAGAAAATCCTGTAAAAACCTTGAAGACCATGTCACTGGTGAACTTCAGCACAGGCACTATCTGCAGCGTGGCGTGGGCTGATGCTGTACTACTTGGTGTTCCCAGCATCTGAAGGGCTGTAAGGTTATCTAATGCTATCCCCTTTTGCCTGCTAATGTCATCCCTAACAAATGGCATTTTAATCAATACTTTACAGAGTCTGAGTGCCTTTCTTACTGGGATCCATAATGAACACTTGCACAGGTGCATTACACCTCGATAAAACACAGCAGCAGCATCTGTGTCTCCAATGGCTCCAACTGGGGAGTGGGCAGCAGTCTCCCAGCAGTGCTATTTCTTCCCTGCATTCACATCCATATGGGCTTGCTGAAAACAGCCCTGAGGTCCTTTGTCCCACCTGCAATGCGAGACCGAAACCAAATCATCATATAGAGAGTAAAGAAAGCGTCCTTGCTGCTATCCTCTTCTCCCTGTCAGCTGAGCAAGGCCGCCTGCGCACACAAACGTGGGGCTGTTTGTGCCTCCTCCCAGAGCGAGGGCCAGCGGTGGTGGCTGCAGTGTGGGACGGCAGCGGCTGATTTCACCACTCGCCCCAAACCTCTTCGCGCCCTGACGCCTCCTTTGGGTCCCTGCCTATGTGATCCGCGTACACGCTGCTTCCCCCTGCTAAGTAAGACGGGGCGTTTCTAGGGTTGTGCCTAGTCGGGCACACGCTCCTCCAGCCAGGGCATCTCCACCCAGGGCATCCCAGCCATTCCCAACGGTGTGTCTCCAAATTTCAGAGGGGTGTGTGGGGGTGAGAACAGGAGCTACTCTTAGATGAGGGAGGGAGCCTCTGCAACTGCTCTTTGTACCAGTGGCCACAGAGTCATTCCTCAGCTACCCAAATGCTAATATTTGCACTCCTTCTATCGAGATAAACATTACAGATGTATCTGCTGCACAGAGGCACAGCACAAAACATGCTCCCTGCTGGCAGAAAGCACTTTTTTGCCATGTGGCAGTTCCTGAGACTACCCCCACCCTGCCCCGCTTTCTGCTGGTTTCTCACACTGCCAATTTTCTGTTTGCTGTAGGAATCATTAGAGCTTTCCCAGCTCTGGTAGCACAGTTCTTGACTTATTAGCTGATGTCATGACATCTAGACTATTCCTGCCTCCCTGTTCCTGGAAGCCCTTGTTTTCCTGGCTGGTTTTGGGCATGCTAGCTCCTTGCTAGTCAGAGCTTCTGTTTCCTTTTGGATGTACTTTTGTATGTTCCACCGGGGTGGGAATAAAAGGGGCAAGCCCTGACTTCATTCCGCTTCACCCTCCTCCACTCCGCTGGGAATTGTAAAGCAGTGGGAAGTATGCACTGCCAATGGCATTGATGACATAACCGGGAGCAAGATTTAAATTCCACATGGGCTGTCACAAGCACTCCTGCTCCTGGGAGAAAGGGGAGACTTAAACTCTGTGTTCTGGTGCCAAAGTGACTGGGGATGAGCTTGCTGGTAACTGCAGGGAGAAGAGACCACTGGACTCGGGGGGGGGGGGAAGCAAGGGGGGGCTTGCAGCTAAAAAAAAAGAGGACTAGAAATGGCTAAGGAGCTCTCAAGCTCTCAAAGTCTGGCTGCACGCAAGGCTGCTAGATAGAGTACAGGTTCCGAGACAAGTCAGCAGGAGGGACCTGAGCCAGCATGGTGAGGAGGCAGCAACAGTGCCAAGAGCTGCACGGGAGCAGCGTGGCACTGAGGAAGAAGGAGCGAGCTGCTCTGGCTGGGGTGGCTGTGAGCTGGCAGTCTTTGCTGTGCCAGCCCGAGTTGGCCCTGGGACAAGCTTGTCTTCTCGCTCCTCACGCCATCTTCCCTGTTATGAAATGGGATGCTAATATTTAGTCCTATGGGGATCCAGAAGACATTTTGCTTAGCTTCCACCAATTAGGTTAGAACATGAAGATGCCCTGAAGGGAGGGAGAGATGCCAAGAGAGGAGGGATAAGAGGAGCCTCAGTCCCACTGTCCCTGACACACCACGACCTCTGGAGTCCTGTTTCTTCATTCTGGTTCAATATTAACCCAGCGGGGGCTGTGACTCCACTTATTCCACTCCATTTGCACTTCCCCTGTAGCCAGGGCTGTACAGCATGGCGCACGACAAAACCAGCATACTGAGGGGCCTGCTCTTTTCCAGCCTTCTGCACCTCACACTGAGCCATGCCGGAGGTAAGACTCAATGCACAGGGGGAAGGACAGTACCAGTGGGTGACAGGAGGAAGAAAGCTGGGGTTATTTCTCTCCAGGGGTAAAGCCAGTGGCAGGCTTTCTTGGTAAGGCAGGAAGACCTTCTAAAAGCTTGAAGTTGGGAGTGAAAGGGTGCTGAGCATAGGGTGAGGATAGGGCTTTTCTGCACAGGAGCATGATGCAGCAGCATCCAGCAGCTGGTGACAAGAGCTCAGTGGATTTTGTGGGTCACCTGGGAGATGGTGGGGAAGAAGAATGTGGGGCTCAGTCTAGGACCATGTGGAACACAACTGTGGGCTTTTTTGGGCTAATGTTCCTCAGTTGACCTGGCTGGCTACAATTCTCCATAGCCTCCCCAGGTGCCCCTTATCTAAACTTTAGGTCATACGCAGTATGCTGCCTTCCTGCTGACTGCTCCTTTTCTCTTATCAGAGCCTCTAACTCACCTATATTTTCTTAATATGAGATTAGGTTCTCTCTGACCCACTGCTGTGTAGGGGCAGACCTGTCTACAGGTCTCAAATCAGGGTCTCTGAACAAGAAGATGGAGCCAAGCTGTGCCTATCACAGCAGTCTGAGGTTGGCAAGACAAAAAGACAGTGGCTGGCAGGGAGCATTAGCAGGCTCCAAGTAAACAAGCCTCTACCTAACTGCAAATGAACAGAGCAGCTTTGCCAAGGATAGCACAGGATTCCTGTCACTTCTGTTGCCTAAGTGACGTGATCTCTAAGGGAGGAATTATAGACAAACTGCTCTGATCATCAGGTGTAGACCTGAGAAGGCATCTCCCCTCTCTATGGTGCACTGGGAGAGGCTGGGCTTTGGGATCACCACGTCAGTGGTGTGTGATTTTTGGAAACTGCAAGGGGAGAAAAAGGGGCCCTCCCACTGCGAGCACCCCTTTGACTGGCAGTGTTCTGACCCGGTAGTTTTCCTGGAAAAGGGGCAGGCACTGTCACTGCTCAAGCGCCCACGACGTGCCAACAAGGGATTTTTGGAAGAGATGCTTAAGGGAAACCTGGAGCGAGAGTGCCTGGAGGAGATATGCAGTTATGAGGAGGCTTTTGAAGTCCTTGAATCCACCGTTCAGACGGTACGTACGGGTGTCCCAGGAAACATCCCCTCAGCCAACCCCTGCAGTGAGAGACCAGCAGGTCACACATGCAGCCAGGGGCTGGGGTCCTAAGACTCAATTCTGTGAACCAAAGAGGAGGGCTGATGCATATGGTCCCAGGGAGAGCTCAGGCTTTCTTAGGGAGTTTCCCTCCTGGAGCTACTCCAGGGAATGTAGCTCGAAGCTCAAGTTCTTTTCCCTCTCTCTATTTTAAGCTTGAAGTGAAAAGGAGAGAGTCTTCCCATCAGTCCTGAGTTGCATCTTCCACTAATTCAGTGTGGTGCCGCACATATTGGAACTGCTGCAGTCCCAGACACTCACTGGAGACCTGGCTTAGCAACCAAACAGAGCGCAGGTGCCTCAGGCTCCTCTGAGGAGAAGCTTTTGTGAAGTTCGTCCCTTCTGTCTTCCAGACTCACTCTGCTAAATTTGTTCTGCATCCTTTGTGGATTTGCTGCTAGCCCCAAGGCCAGTATCCAGTGCTGAATTCCATACCCAAGGATACAACAGTAAACAGATCAACAGTTAGGAGTCTAAGCCAGCAAGATACAACCTCTGTGGAGTATTTCTAAAGCAATAGCCCCAAGGCTGCACAGCAGAGATGTAGATCTAAAGAGCTGAGCAATATCTACTTCTAAGGAACTGTGGCCTTAGAAGTTCTAGGTTTAGCCCCTTGGACTTCTGCACTGTAGCCCAGGCTCCACTTCCTCTGCAGGTTGATGAAGGTTGTAAGCATCTCTTTGGTCTTCTTAGAAACAACAGTATTCTCTTGATTCCTGAGTCTGATGAGTGGGAATGTGGTTTTTTTTAATCTGTTTTTGCTTCATTGGACTCTGTAGTAATTGATATCAACAGAGCAAGGTTAGTTGTTCCATTTGTTGTGATGAGGCATTCTACTGGTTTGAATTGCAGCAGCTAAGCAAGGTCTGATGTCTCTACTCTTAAATATATAATTTTTTAAATTTTTGTTTTTACAGGAGGCATTTTGGTCAAAATACCAAGGTAAGTTGCTTCAGGTCTTGCAGGCACAATGCACTGTCCCATCCTGGAGAGATGGCTCCCTACCCTCCTATAACAGCTCACTTTTCAGGACAAAGCACTTGTGTTTTGTCCCTGGATGATAAACTGTCTCAAACTGTGAAGTTTATTGGGATTCTGTTCATATAATTTGTTTCTTTCTTCTTATTTTGCTAGTATGTCAGGGCCTGAGAAATTCCAGGACAGTTCTGAATTGTTTAGAAGGTAAGAAATTCATGTTGACCTCAATCTCCCAGATAAAGTGAGTGCCAGGAACTTCTTCCTGCAGAGTTTGTAAGGAAAAAAAATTAAAATCTAAAGTTGGTGAAGCCATCTGATTAGAAAGAAAAACAGCAGAAGGGGAGTTTGAAATTCCTTTCTTCCACTTTATTTCCCCACTAACCCTTTCACAAACAGCCTGAGTCCCCCACTGAAACAGCATGGGGTAGGTATCCTTCTCCTTGTGACACAGCCCGGTGTCCCCAAGGCCAGCCTCGCAGAAGGGCTCTGACCTGCGCCTATAGCCAAAGCAAAGCACAGTCTGATGAGGCAGAGTGAGCTTAAGCTGTGTGCTCTTCCCAGCCCATGAAGAGAACAGCTGTGCTTGTGCAGGCTCACACAGGCAGCAAAAGGGATTTGTGGGATGGTACCATTGGCCTTGAAAAACGCGGCATCCACTGCTACTGGCCCTGGCTTACACCATGTTGGGATTTTGACAGGTAACTGCTCTCTTGGTCTGGGCCAGAACTATCAGGGGACAATTAGCCACACCAAATCAGGGATTGAGTGTCAAGTGTGGACAAGCAAATATCCACATATACCTAAGTAAGTCCATCTCCCATACACCCCTAAAGGGTTCTCCAGGGTGTTTTTCCTTCCTTCCTAGCCTAACCAGCTTTTTTCTCACAGAGTTAATGCCACCATTTATCCCAACCTCATTGAGAACTACTGCAGGAACCCAGACAGCAACCCCAAAGGCCCATGGTGCTACACTCGAGACCCAACGGTGGAACGGGAGGAGTGTCCCATCCCAGTGTGTGGTATGCCTCAGCACTACACCCCAGCAAGCCCCTCACTGGCCGGGGACACTGTGCTGAGACTGATACTGAATGTGTCAAGGAAAGGGAGAGGGTTAGGAGGAATCTTACATGAACAGAGGTCAGTCAGAGAAGAGGAGCTGTGTCTTAAGGGTAAAGGAGCTGAGGACAAAAAGTCAATGAGTTGCCCATACATCTACCTTAGCTAAATTCCTCAAGTGTGCTGTCTTCTCTAGAGTACAATAATCTATATCTAAATTAAATCTGGTATCAGCAGTCCCCTGGAATCTACTACAGTTTTGACAGTCAGAAAGACCCCAAAATTGGGGCTCAGCTCTCTCTAATTTGTGTCAGCAATGAGTCATACTGGGTATTTTTTTTGTCTGAATTCCCACCTTTAGGACAAAACCACTACAGTTTGTGCTTGATTGCCTGCCTTAATGTTCACTCATAAGGAGGGGTACAGTTTAACACCCACAGTCTCAAGAAAAGAGAGGATACCCTTCTCTTATTATTGTACTTAACAGGATGGAGAACAATTACCCTATACTTGTATCTCCCTATTTCTTCACAAGTCTCCCCTGTGGCTTGGCCTCCATCTCAGAAGAACTGGTAGAAAGCAGAAAATCTTCTCACAGCAGAAGTTTCTCTTCCAAAAGCAGAGACTAGAGGCAATGACTCTTATAAGTGAAAGTCAGAGAGGTCAGCAACCATTTTGACCATGGGGTGTTTTGAAGTTTTAAAAATCATTACCAGTGCCCTGATCTTCAAGATGGCAAACTGGAAAGAGATACTGCTCTGCTTTAGGGTGATCGGGCACCAGTATTATCTCTGTTCACTGGTTAGTTTCTGACCTTGGGCAGCTTACTGTTACACTTACACGGATACAGCAGGACTAGAAAAGCCTTGGTTTTGTGCACAGTTCCTTTGCAGTTATGTTGATGATAAGTCAATCTCACCCAGAAGCAACCTCACCAATTCAGGTGAATGCTACTTGCTCAGTGGCTGTTGTGACCTTGGTTGAACAAACAGAGGGTGTCTCTGCACAAGAGGATCCCCCCAGTGTACAAGGAGAAGGCAGCCTCAGGCCAAGCAACTGCCACAGAACAGATTAGCTGGTGCCCACTCCCTCAGGTAATGCTGTTTAAAGCTTGAAGCCATTAGGACACTTGCAATATAAAGTGTGGAAAGTCTGGCAGGAAAAATTTTCTCCTATCATTAGACATAGGAACATTGGTAACAGTTAAATTTGCTATTTTAGTAGAATATCACAGTAAAAGGCTCCTGCAAATATAGTCCAGTTGCGCATTAAAGAAAAAGGCATTGGAGGCTTAACGCAACAGCATGACAATGCCTGAGGCACATACCTATCCCTTGAGCTGCTTCTCAGAGATACTCCAGAACAGAACACAGTTATCCCAGAGAGAAGCATGAGGAATAGTGCCAGCCCCACCTTACCTCCTGTTGAAAGAACCACCTCTGACACTGCAATATTGTAGAGGGCCACCACATGCATGCAAGCACGGTGGGAGCTCCCAAACATAATGGGATGTCCCATGGAACTCTGGGCAGCAGTAAAAGGGGCTCTGGTGCCATTTGCTAACAGTACTTCTGAGTGCAAAGTTATGACTTAAATCACAGCTCTCTGTTTTTTCAGGTGAAGACAGGACAACAGTTGAATTTATTCCACGGGTGACACCACCAGCCCCGACAGAACCCTGTGAACAAGAGAAAGGCATGCTTTACACTGGGACCCTCTCAGTCACCATGTCTGGAGCAAAGTGCCTGCCCTGGAACTCTGAGAAAGCCAAAGAGGTGCTCCACGGAAAACACATTGACCCAGAGGTGCAGCTGCTCGAGAATTACTGTCGGAATCCAGACAGAGATGATGAGGGTGTCTGGTGTGTCACAGATGAACCACCCAACTTTGAATATTGCAATCTGCACTACTGCGGTGAGAAGCCTGCATTGGTTTGGGTAGGCACACTTGTGAGGCAGTAACAAACAAAAACGTGTGACTAGGGGGAAGCGCTTGGCCTGGGAGGCAGAGACAAGGAAGTACATGCACCATGCACATGGATATCCCGTTTGTCCAAATATCACATGTACTAACCTGCTGTATGTGTATAGAGCTGTTACATCTCTCAGGTGTTCTGTTCTCCCTGAAAGCTCACAACAGCAGACAAGGAGCATTAAAAAAAACAAACAGTGGTCTTAAAACATCCTTCCTTCACCAGAGCCACTGTGTGTGGAAAGGAACATTTATATTGCTAGTAATTATGGGAACCGCAGCCAGGCCTTTTACCATGTTTGTCTTTGTCTCTCTCAGACAGCTCGCTAGAGGATGAGAATGAACAGTTGGAGGGAATATCAGGACGCACTGTTTCTCAAGAGTTCAAAACCTTCTTTGATGACAAAACTTTTGGTTCAGGTGAAGCAGGTGAGCAAAAACTCTAGATAGAGTGTCACAGTTTGTAGAAAAGCTGCAGCTTCTTCCCACAGGGCACTCACTGTCCCTCAGAAACACCAGCTTGCCAAATGCTGTCAGAAGGAGGAGGAGATATTTAAATTCCTTGAAGGACCCTCAGAAGTCAATCTCCAGCTAGTAGGCACTTCCTTCCTAGGCTCTTCCAGCTTAACATGCTGACTGCAGACAACTGTGAATCAGGTAGAGTAACAAAGCCAGATTGTCTGTTTTTTCAGACTGTGGCACTCGTCCTTTATTTGAGAAGAAAAAGGTAATGGACAAAAGTGAGAAGGAGCTGCTGGAGTCCTACATAAGAGCCAGAGTTGTCCATGGGGACGATGCAGAAGTTGGCAGCTCCCCCTGGTAAGGATTATCTTTGCATAGCCCTTCATAGGGAATTGTGTCTCTCTTCAGTTCAAGCAGGGCTCTCCCAGCTCAGGCAGCATGCAGACATTACAGCTTCTAATCAAAGCTGTTCCAAGTGGCTGACAAGGCAGTATTATACAGCTGGAAACTCTCCTCTTGAGCCAAGTATGCAACTACCTGGGAAAGTGAGAGTGCTGGTGTGTTTTGTCTTTGTCTCTCCTCCTTCCCAGCTTTGCTAGAGCAGGGAGGATGAGAAACCTCCCCAGGTGAAGGAAATGGGGTAAATGGCTTACTACATAGAATATACATGTCTAGGGAAGACTTCTGCTAGAGCACCATGTATGCTGTTGTCTTTGTCAGTATAGTGCCATGCCCTTCCCTGCTCACTGTACAACACCAGCCAGCCATGCCTTTAGGGCTGCTAAATCTTTCTCCCTCGTCTCTCAGGCAGGTGATGCTCTACAAAAAGAGTCCTCAGGAGCTGCTGTGTGGTGCCAGCCTCATCAGTGACAGCTGGGTCTTGACTGCTGCTCACTGTCTTTATTATCCACCCTGGGACAAGAACTTAACTACAAACGACATCTTGGTGCGGATTGGCAAGCACGCAAGAACAAAGTAAGTGCCTGGATGAAGTGAGAATGAACAAGCCTTCCTCTTGGAGTGATGAGACACAATGAGGTTGGACTATCATTCCAAGAAAACACTCACAGCCTCTCAATAATGGGATCTATGGCAGCTGTCATTTGCTGCTCTTGCTGATCCTAGAGGTTAAAGTGAAAGGGAAGGCAGAAACATGGAAAGTTTAAAGGGGCACTCCAGTGTAAAGAAAGTACTGTTTCAGAGGGTATAAAGCACCTGAGAGTGTCATGAACCCCAGAAGACTCTCAGTTGCTACTGTACAGGGAGTTCTTTCCTTCATGACTGTTTCAGGTATGAAAGGAATAAAGAGAAAATTGCTCTGCTGGATAAAATAATCATCCATCCCAAATACAACTGGAAAGAGAACATGGACCGAGACATTGCACTCATGCACTTGAAGAGACCCATCATCTTCAGTGACTACATCCATCCTGTCTGCCTGCCTACCAAAGAGGTCGTGCAGAGGTGAGGAGTGTCCCACAGGCTGAAAAACAGTCTTCTACAAAAGCCTCCTTCAGGCCTTCAAAAAAAAAAAGACAGAAAAAGATGCCTTGATTATACTCATGCTTCCTTCCACAGGCTGATGCTGGCAGGTTACAAAGGGCGGGTAACTGGTTGGGGAAACTTGAAAGAAACATGGGCAACTAGCCCAAGCACCCTCCCCGCAGTTCTGCAACAGCTCAACGTGCCCATTGTACATCAAGGTGTCTGCAAAGCATCCACCAAAGTTAAAGTCACTGACAACATGTTCTGTGCAGGTAAGTAGCACTGCAGGCACCAGGCCAACTTGCCTCAGAAGACAGACAAGGGCTCTGAGCTCCTGGCAGGGCTCACACAGCAAGGTAACTTTCTGATAAATTTGCAAGTGACCTCCGTAAGAATAATTTTCCTATGAGAAGAACTTTTCAGCTCTCAGATAACACGAAGGCTAGAGAATGTAAAGCTATGAATAAAGTTTGTAACACCAGGCTAACCAGCCTAATAGCACCACTCTGCTACATATCAGCAACAGCTGCCTGAAAGCTAAGACAAAATATTATCTTTTAACTCAGATGTAATTATCTTTTCACCAGTATATGGAAGAGTTCAGTGACTTCCTAAATTAAAGGCTACATACCTGTTATCCTACACAGTAGCCAAGCCACCCCTTCTTCTCTACTAGCTTGTCTCATACTCTTGGAGCCTATTCATACTTATGCCCACAACTTTTGCGGCAACAGGCTCCACAGATTAGTTATGCACGTGTGAAAAATATAATTCCTCATGTTCTGCTAAATTCCATAACAAATTTGAAGTAGTACACATTTATACTCATAGCTTAAGAAAAAATATTTCTTCTCCATGTCACATGCTGTTTTATGGGCCCTTTACTGTCACTTCTTTTCCAAGCCGAGACGCATTTATTTAATCTTTCCTAATACAGAAGGTATTCTGTACTTCCAGTAATCCTTGTTGCACCTTCCTCTCTCTCTTCTGGCACTATACTCTTTTCAAAAGAGATTAGAAGTGAACACAGAAGTCAAGATACAAAGACACTATGGATTTATGTACCAGTTTAATACTTCCTACTGTATTCTTCATTTGTGCAGACCATCAGTTCCTACAAGCAAGTCACCAATGATTTTTGGCTGAGTTTGTGCTGTGTGCATCTAACACCACATATGATTGCTTGAGTTAGGATGGAAGCCAGTTTCATGAATATAATGATAATAATGTTCTTATGCTTTCTTTTAGAGACAAAATTCTTGAAAAATAGCTCAGATGCAGACACACAGCAGAAAAGAGGAAAATGCAAAGATACTGTCTAGTGCATCAGGAATTCAAGTGAAATCTCTTTGTTCTTCATAGCAAGATTGTGGAAAGACAGTCAGTTTGGGGAGAGAAAGAACAGAGCCTGCAGAATGACAGGAAGGTGAAAGTGAGGATGGCAATGTGTCTCTATAGTAAACAATTAAAGAACAGGGTACATGGAATATTACACACAAGTTTCTGCAAAAAGAGAAAGGCACAGTAGCTCGAGCTACAGCTGTTGAACACAATGGCAGATGACAATAACTGTAATTCTAATGAAGGAAAACAAGAATGAGAGCACAGAGGGTGGAAGACTATAGTGGATTCAGGAATGCTAAAAAGACAGAAGCAGAGTTAACTGTTTTACATAAAAAAAACCCAAAGCAGTTTTCTAAATTTAATAGTTGGTAGCAGCAGTAAGAAGTCTCATGGCTCTCACAGTGTATGCAGCAATACTTCAAAGATGGCCAACACCAGACACTCCCCCTACAGCTAAATGTCCTACTTTTTTCTTGCCTGTAGGTTACAGTCCTGAGGACTCAAAGAGAGGAGATGCCTGTGAAGGGGACAGTGGGGGACCTTTTGTAATGAAGGTATGTTCAACAAGTTCAAGCTCATAAAACAGGGAGCTAGGTTTGTGCTGTGCTGAACCTTCCTAATAGTCTGAAAAATGGCAGCAGAGATGGATACTGCTGAGCAGCTGAAGCAAACCCATCTCATGCCCAAGCTGAGCAATCCAGATGAATCCTGCAGTCATCCAGCCCCATTTCTGTACTGAGTTCACAGCATGTACAGGGATCAGCTGCAGAATGCATGAGCGATGGCCAATTCTCACTTAGAGGTTTAAAAGAAGAGATAAAACTACTCCAACAAGCTATGTTATTGAGCAGATGAATTCCAAAACAGTATCCATCACTAAACAGGCTGGATCAGAGACAAGGCTTAGATCTGTAAGTCTCTTGCTCCTTATGCTAATCCCCTTTTTCTTTGCTTAGAACCCAGATGACAACCGTTGGTATCAAGTTGGAATAGTTTCATGGGGAGAAGGCTGTGACCGAGATGGCAAATATGGATTTTATACTCATGTATTCCGCCTGAAAAAGTGGATCCGAAAAGCCATCGAAAAACATGGGCAATAGAGGAAGTGTTTACCTTGCTTGCTCTGTTTTGCTATAATGCTCCACTTCTTAAAAACGTAAGCATAGAAGATGCTGAACTAAAATAGTTATATCCTTACAGCTCGACAAAGGAAAATGCTCTCCTTTGAAAATAAAAGTTCTCAAACCCATCTTCTTCCTTTTGTTCATGCTGAGTTTAGCTGCACTTGCATCTAAGTCATCAGAGGAGCCAGGAGTACCAGCAGAACAGCACTAGTTATACTGATAATTACCTGCTGCACTTCAAACAATTCTCCTCCATTCTATGAACTATAATCAACCGATTTTAGAGCTCAGGTGATGGCCTTAAGTCACAGTAAGCACAACTGTGCCCTCGGGCACTGTCCATTTTCCCCGTTCAAGTCAACTCATTTTCTGTTCTAGAAATTAAGCCAAGAACGTACTGCAGATAATCACCCTGCAGTAACCATGGCATTACACAAAACGCCAATACCAATGTCAGAAGTGAAGCAACTCTAACCTGTTTTGATAAGACAGACATTGTTCTCAGCTACTATAGCAAATACCATCATCACTGTTTGCAAGGTCAGCACCTCAAGTAGTTACAGATGCCAGCTGTATGCAAGTCATCCTACAGAGTACGGGCTTGAATACAGTAAGTGGCACTTCCACTACTGTAGGGCAGTAACTTTCTACATGGCAGGAGGTGCTGAGTTCTCAAAGTGTACTTTCCACCTGCATAGCAAGATTCAAAAGGAAGCAATGCATGCACAGTCACTATCAAAGGGCCTCTTGAGGGAAGCATCCTGCACTCTCTCTTTGGTTGTCTTATAAAGTCTGTTTAGGGGTTATCCCCAAAAGAAACTTCAGTTCTTTCACAAACTCCTCTTCAGCAGCAACTTACGGTCCACCGACACAGCAGTACAGCTGTAAACACGTATTCTTGACTAGCCAATTTGTTCAGTCCAACTTTCTCTTAAAAGTAATCATGACATGTGGAAACTGTCCTTGCTCCCTATGACACCATATTCCTAAACTCCTGATTCACAGTGCCATCGAGTCACAATAAAATGTCACTGTTGCCTGTTTCTGTGCTTCACAGAGTATATCAAGAAGCAGAGTGACTGTGTTGAAAAAGTGAGAGTAGAAGTAACTATCTGAAATTAGCTGGATATAGACAAAGTCATTGCTAAGTTACTGTCTGGCCACCTCCTTGAAGGTGGCTCATGTAGGAAGCAACTTGAAGACAGCCCAATTTGATTGCCCAAAGAAAGCGTAAAACAAACCTCTCAAAAACATCTGAAGAACAAAACCACAAGAGCTCAAGTTCTACAACTCTAAATTTAAAGTCACTGATAACCACAGGCATTGGACACTGAAAAAGTTTAGCCCTTCTAATGTTTAAATTTTTAGCCTCACCCTTTCACTGCTATCTAATAACCTGTGAGAAATTGCATATCTAAGAAGGCAACCAGGACCATACAGTTTCTGAAGTAAGTGACTTAATACTGACTTGTTACAAACAATACAGAGGAATCATTTTTAAAATTCAGTTTAATGTTATTTAAATATTGTCTGGGCTAAAGATTAGGCTTTATTAATTTATGTGCACAAGTTTTAGTTCAGAACTCCCAGGATATTGAGTCCAACCAAACACTACAGAGACACAGGGCAAAAAACTCATTCATAGTAAGCAACTATATCTTCTGCTACTCAATTATTCCTGTATTTCACTTCCAATTCAGCTTCAAATTTAAAATAGCTGTATGCAGGTTTGCAGGCATTGCTGTTTTAACATCCTGAGCTAATTAACAGATAGCTCTTCAGAACATCTGCCAGACATGATAAAGGAACATATAGATTAATTTCAGCATCAGTGAGTTTTAAAAAGCAGCTAGTAATCAAGAGGTAGTGGCAGTAACTCTAGTGCCAGCCAACACAACGCATTCATAAACAGCCCCAGTTTAAGTGTGCAAAACTTCAGCACTTACCAATAAGGGCCAAACCTCCACTTGTCACACGGCTCTGTTCCACAAGAAAGTGCATGCCCACTTCAGGTTAGGAGAGGAGACTGCGACTACAAAATCGAGGTGGTGGAGCAACAAATGGCATTGTGTCAATTGACACAGGATGGAGAACACTCGTGAGTCACCTGCTATTGCAGTGTACAAACTTGCTATAAGCACCAAGCAGTATTACATCAACTGCAACCCCAGCCCAGGGGGCCTGTAATAGGACGGTTTCAGCCATTTGCAAAAGCTCTGGCATAGATCTGTCGTACAGGTACTAATTTAAAGCCACATTTTTACTGTAATCAGGCAAGATAGTTTCAGTAACGGCCTTAATGCAGAGACTGCTGGTCCACAGAGCAAACAACAAAAGCAGCAGTTACAAGGAACAGATTAAACTCTGGAGCAAAACTGTGCTATTTTAAGTCTGCCTGTCCAACTCTTCAATAACTCTGTTCTAGCTATAGAACAGATGTGCCGTTTATGCTCCACAACCAGTTCTCACATGGAAGTGCAGTAGTAAGGTGAAAAACACATCACCTCCCTAGAGATGAAAGGGCTAGAAAGGCTACGAGCGCATCTCAATCTCCATACTTGTAGCTTCTGAAAAAGGCTAAATCGGAAGACACCTACCAAAAAAAGCAAAAAAAAAAAAAGCAGTGGCTACAGCTTTTGCAGACTAGCACTACCGAGTGTCTTAGTTATACAAAACAGTAGTTTACTGACATCAGATGTTTAAGAGCAAAAAGAATGTGGTGGTGAGGTCTACCTGCACTTGAAAACTGCATGAGGAAGACTGTTAACCAAATGAATTCAGGATAAATGAGTCCACTGACTGCACATCACTGCTAATCTATTCCATATCAACAGCAGCAGGCTCCCTCAAAGAAAGCATTTGTACACAGATGGGACTATGCTTAATCTGGGTAAAGGCATCACAAGGACTAGGTAATTTAAAATAAGCATTTCAGCAAACTAAGTATTCTCAACTTACTCTCAAATTACAGAAACATATTCCAAAACAAAAAACAACTATATGAAAAATGCACTACTGCTCACAGAAGAGTGCAAAGTCTCAGGACTGCACTCACAGATAGTATATATTCACTCATCTTCCTCAGAACATATCCAAACCCCAAGGTCCATGTCAAGAATAGCTTAGTTCAGTTTCTAGATGCCCAGTCACTAACATTCAGGAATAGAGAGTGACTTCTCTAACCAGCAGTCACTGCTGTTCCTACAGAGGCTGGTATAGTTAATGCAAACTTTATTTACAAAAGACACTTAAATTAGTTACTTCATGCCATGTGTCCATACAGAATCAACAGTTCAAGGATTACATGGAGAAGAATTCACAAAATTAAAAGTGAAATCACTAAAGATCTTCTAAGAGTTAAGAACTAGGAAAAGATCTTAAAGACAATTTTACAAATAAAAAAACAAGTTATGAGAAACTAGTCTGAGCAAGAGGATGGTTGTTTACAGGTCTGTACACTAAAACTAATACACAGACAGCCTTCTATTGTCAAAGAGATGCTCACTGAGAAGCAGAGTATGTACAAATACTTGTGCCACAATGACTCAACCCCCCAAAATCCACTGTATTATACATAAACCAGTTTGTATACATTAGGCCTAAATGAGGCCATTTAACTATGAAGACTTCTAGTTTAGTAAACTAAAGCTGAAGACAGCCCAAGCAACAATGATGCTGTCTCTCTCGCATCTCTATTTGCGACTGCTTTTTATTCTCTCCAATCTTTTTTTCAAGTCATCAATATTAGCTGCTGCAGAAGAGGGTGAAGCCAGGGTAGTTCCAATGCCAGATGAATGAGTCTGATTGGAGTCCAGGTCCAGATGTTGGTACTGCTCCCGTGACTCACGGAGCTGGGAGAGCTTACTGTGAAGCATATCTGTAGAGGATGCAACCGTAGGGAGGGCTGGTTTAGAGAGCAGAGATGTCAGAGGTGGTCTGTCTTCCTGCTACAGGGGAGAAAAGTGGAGTGTTAAGACAGACAGTGGCAAAAGGAGTACAAACCATAATCAGTGGCTTTTCATCTTCACAGGAAACACTAAAGACACAGGGAAGGGAAAAAGCAATACAATGCAGGTGATCTGGAGTGATAAAGTCAGTTGCCATCAAAGCCAGAACCATGCAAAGCTAACTGCAATACTCCATCCCTATCATTTAAGCAGTTCACGTTTAGCTTGATGTCTGGAGGAACACAAAGGAACTGCAATCTTTAAAGATCAAAGATTCACAGAAAACCAGTGTTTTACTGAGATGGCCTGCTGCAGTCTTGAACAGCCTGAATTCATGGAGGAAAGTCCATGCCTACGTGCAGCATCAACAGCCAATTAGTTTTCTGGAGGAATGAGACAAGGAAGCTTGGATTGATGGGCAAGATCCACCCTATCAAAGACTTAAAATGTCAATTCACTGTTCTTTTACCAATTGATACTTCCATCTGTGTTAATTATCTTGTTATTGTATCTAGAAATATTTCCCCTCCTCAGAGCTGTGAGTTGATATCCAAATTTGTGTAAAAACTTCTTTCCAGCCTCCTCAGCCAGAAGACAGAGACTGGAAGAACAATGCCCCCGCATTCCAGGAGGAGACAGTCAGTGACCTGCTGCATCACACAGACACACACAAGTCTATGGGACCAGATGGGATTCACCCAAGCGTGCTGAAGGCGCTGGCTGGGGTGCTCACCAAGCCGCTTTCCATCATTTCCCAGCAGTCCTGGCTGACCGGGGAGGTCCAGACTGATTGGAAATTGGCCAGCGTGACACCCATACATAAGGGTCAGAAGGATGGTCTGGGAAATTACAGGCCTGTCAGCTTGACTTCAGTGCCCGGGAAGCTGATGGAGCAGCTCGTCCTGAGTAACATCACACAACACATGCGGGACAACCAGATGGTCAGGCCCAGTCAGCATGGGTTTATGGAAGGCAGGTCCTGCTTGACAAACATGATCTCTTTCTACGACAGGGTGACCTGCTCATTGGATGAGGGAAAGGCTGTGGATGTTGTTGACTGACTTTAGTAAGGCCTTTGACACTGTTTCCCACAGCATTCTCCTGGCAAAACTGGCTGCTCGCAGCTTGGATGGGCACATGCTTTGCTGGGTAAAAAACTGGCTGGATGGCCGGGCCCAGAGAGTTGTGGTGAATGGACTTAGATCTGGTTGGTGCCTGGTCACGAGTGGTGTCCCCCGGGGCTCGGTTTTGGGGCCACTCCTGTTTAACATCTTTATTGATGATCTGATTAGGAGATCGAGTGCACCCTCAGTCAGTTTGCAGATGACACCCAGCTGGGTGGGAGTGTTGATCTGCTCGAGGGCAGGGAGGCTCTGCAGAGAGACCTGGACAGGCTGGAGCCATGGGCTGAGGCCAACTGGAGGAGTTTCAATAAGGCCAAATGCCGGGGGCTGCCCTTGGGCCACAACAACCCCCAGCAGCGCTACAGGCTTGGGGAGGAGTGGCTGGAGAGCTGCCAGTCAGAGAGGGACCTGGGGGTGCTGACTGACGGCTGGCTGAACATGAGCC